GACAACTATTTAATTAAATTTATAAATAAACAACCAATTTTTATTTGCTATAATCCTATAATGAAGGCAGCAGTATATTATAGCTTTTAGACAACTGTCTATTAAAATAGAATTCATACAGAGAGGAAGGCTGTGTGAGAATGAAGGCAGAGATTAAAGTGATGCATCACAAGCCAGGAAATTCTAAGAATTGCTGGCAGCCCTAATAGCCTAGGAAAGATCAACACATTCCACAAATTTTTTTACCTTGACAAAGAATGATCAAATCTTTTTTTTTTTTTTTTGTAAGTAAACACTGTTTCAGAGGCAGAACAGCTTTCATATATTTTTATTGATTTCATAGAGGAGAGAGAGGAGAAGGAGAAGGAGATAGAAACATCAATGATGTTGCCCTAACTGGTTTGGCTCAGTGGATAGAGCGTCAGCCTGTGGACTGAAGGATCCCAGGTTCGATTCCAGTCAAGAGCATGTACCTTGGTTGCTGGCATACCCCCATAGGGGGTGTGCAGGAAGCAGCTGATAGATGTTTCTCTCTCATCGATGTTTCTAATTCCCTATTCCTCTTCCTTCCTCTCTGTAAAAACATCAATAAAATATTTTTTTAAATAAATATCAATGATGAGAGAGAATCATTGATTGGCTGCCTCCTGTATACACACCCCTACTGGGAATTGAGACCGGAACCAGAGCATGTGCCTTGACCAGGAATTAAACTGTAATCTCCTGGTTTATGGATCAATACTCAGCCACTGAGCTACACCACAGCCAGGTAAAAATGACCAAATCTTAACTCCTAAAGAACCTGTTTACTTCCAGTGCAAGATTTGCCTATGATGAAATTAACCAGAAATGATGCATTTGATAATGATGAAAAAGAAGAGATGGTCCTTGGGCCTGAAGAAGAAATGATACCTGGAGATTAAGAGAAATCTACATGTGTGCCAATGGGACAAACAAATGTTTGTTCTTGCTAAGTGGAGGTTCCCAAACCCCAGATCCAACACATGCCTGGAACTTCAACTCTCAAGAGAGACCAAAGAGTTAAGCCCTGTCTTTTATTTTTTTTAAATATATTTTTATTGATTTCAGAGCGGAAGGGATAGGGAGGGAGAGACAGAAACATCCATGATAAGAAAGAATCAATGACTGGCTGCCTCCTGCATGCTCCCAATTGGGGATCTAGTCCACAACCCAGGCATGTGCACCGACCAGGAATTGAACCATGACCTCTAGGTTCATAGGTTGATGCTTAACCACTGAGCCATGCCAGCTGGGCCAAGCCCTATCTTTATATCTAAAATCACATTCTCCTTTCCCAGTTTCTTCAAACAGTAGAAAGAAGATATGGAGGAGAAACTGAGTCACATAATATTTCATCCTATGGTTTACATCATGAATTCTATGCTTGCTATCTTCTATGCTTTGCTAATAATACACTGTGCCAAGATTTTAGAATGGAAAATGGCAACTTTTCTCTCAAGAATCTGACTCCAAATAATGAACTGAGGCTTTTAGATTGCTGTATCTCTTGAGTCTTCTAAAAAAAAAAAAAAAAAAAATCAAAGCAATTAAAGAATAAAAATTCACTGGAAAAGCAGATTATTTACTCTGCTCAGGTTCAAAAGGGGAGTAACCATACTCTTTCTTTCCTTTTTTTTTTTTTTTTATTCAGTTGGAAAGACAGCTAACGATGCAGAATGAAATGAGAGAAAGACAAATGGCCATGCAGATTGCTTGGTCTCGGGAATTCCTCAAATATTTTGGAACATTTTTTGGCATTGCAGCCATCTCTTTAACAGCTGGGTATGTTTGTTATTTACTTTAAATTTTTCTTAAGTGATTTATTTATTTTGTCTTTGCCATTATCATATTACTAGAGGCCCAGTGCACGAAATTCATGCACGGGGTGTGTCCCTCAGTCCAGCCTGCACCCTCTCCAGGGATGTCCAACTGCCGGTAGGATCGGGTCTAAATGGGTAGCTGGACATCCCTCTCACAATCGAGGACTCCTGGTTCCCAAGTGCTTGCCTGCCTGCCTTCCTGACTGGCCCTAACCGCTTCTGCCTGCCAGCCTGATCACCCCCTAACGACTCCCCTGACAGCCTGATTGATGCCTAACTGTTCCTCTGCCAGCCTGATTGCCCCTAACGTCCCTCCCCTGCAGGTCTGGTTGCCCCCTAACTGCCCTCCCCTGCAGGCTTGATCACTCCCAACTGCCCTCCCTTTCAGGCCTAGTCCCTCCCAACTGCCCTCTCCTGCTGGCCTGATTGCCCACAACTGCCCTCCCCTGCAGGCCTGATCCTTCCCAACTACCCTCCCCTGCTGGTCATCTTGTGTCCACATGGGGGTAGCCATTTTTTACCACATGGGGCAGCCTTTTTGTGTGTTGGAATGACAGTCAATTTGCATATTACTCTTTTATTAGATAGGATAGAGGCCTGCTGCATGGGTGGGGGTCTGCTGGTTTGCCCTGAAGGATGTCCTGGATCAGAGTAGGGGTTCCCTTAGGGCCTGAAGTGGCCTGGGCAAGGGGCCTGTGGTGGTTTGCAGGCCAGCCACCCCACCTCCTCAACCCCCCGGCGACCCAAGTGGAGGCCCTAGGATCTGGGATTTATTTATCTTCTATAACTGAAACTTCATAGCCTTGAACGGAAGCCTGGACCGGCCACAGTGTGCAGGAAGCTTGGCTTCCTCCATTGCTGGGGAAATCCAAACCTCCTACTCACTCCATGGCCGCAGCAATCTTGGTTGGGTTAATTTGCAAACTTGCTCCTGATTGGCTGGTGAACATGGTTTGTTGGTATAATGGAGGTATGGTCAATTTGCATATTACTCTTTTATTATATAGGATTATTCAGTTGGCCAAGACAGGACTTTGGTCCAAATCTGTGCATATAAACAAAGTAATCCATTATAACTTAATCCCTGGAGGAAATTCTGTAGAAACAGGGTAGCAATAGTTAATTCTGCCTTTAGTTTATTACATTGCCTCTGCTCTTTTCTCCATTTTACAAGTTAGAGAACTAACTTGGCACTGAGACAAGAGGCTTCTACAAGTTTATCTCTACAATTTTTAAACGGTAGATATGAACACTTCACTATTTATAAAATGAGTAATCTGGGCCTCAACATCAAATATAAATGAGTAATTCATAGACCCTGCTTGTCCTGGAGAACTGTAGAATCTGGTGAGGGGTTATGGGTAAGGAAGTCCTATTAATATTTTCAAAGAAAATACAAATGAATTAAGTAACGTTTGAAATGAACATTCTTTCAAAAAGGAGGTAAAAAAAATTTTAAATCGAGTATAAAGATATGTATTTACTGGTTATTTCTTGATATTTATTTTTCTTTGTTCTTAAACCAGAGCAATAAAAAGGAAGAAGCCAGCCTTCCTCTTCCCTATTATTCCATTAGGCTTTGTCCTCACCTACCAGTATGATTTGGGCTATGGAACTCTTCTACAAAGAATGAAAGGTAAGCTTTTGATAAACCAGACTCTATTTCTTACTCATTACCTCGTTAAAGGATCCTTTTCTTATGACTCCTTGACTTAGTAAGATTCTGACAAGACCCTCTCGCTGGTTTTTAAATATAATAATTATATAAAATTTAGGTTATATAAATTTACAATGAAATAAATTACAAAAAAATAAGCATTATATTAAAAACAATATTAAAAAGTACTCAACTGATCAGCTTCTAATTATTATACTGTAATCTACACATTTAGTATCCTCTTAAGTTATGAATATCTACTGTATCTGTATGGCAGAAATGCAGATATGGTAGAAATGCAGATACAATATACAAATACAATAAAATACAGATACAACTCTAACTTTAGTGACATCCCACTGGTACCCTGAAGTTAATTGTGATAGAAGTATTTACACCATGGAAATCTGCAAATGTTAAATCAAGACTTGACTTATTTTGTTGTTGTTGTTGTTGATTATATTTAGACCAAGAGTTGGTATACTATGGCCTGTAGGCTGGCCACCTGTTTTTGAAAATAAAGTTTCATTGGAACATTGACATGACTAAATTTATCATCCAGCCATTCTGTAAACACATATTGAGTTTTGCTACATGCCAGCAAGACATTCTCACATGGAAACATCTACCGGTAGTCTGTCACCAATGGCTGGCTTAATTATATCAAGTTAGAATGATTTTTACTTACTATTTGAGACTGAAGAAAGAAGTGTTGGGAGATGGCTGAAATACTCTTATAATTTGAAAAATTTAGTCTGTTAGGTTTGGAGTATAAGTTGTGTGCTAAAAGACAAGAACTTAAAGAAAACATTTGCCTTCATTCCCAAAGTTTATAAAATGGTAATGTGTATTATGACACAATTTCAAAATTAATTTTGCTAATTAGTCTTCAACATTAAAAGTTAGCAAATGTTAATTGGTCCAACAAATTACTAGCTGTTATCTGAAAGAGGAACTGTTTATAGAAATGTGTAGATGTGTGTGTATGTAGGCATACAGATTAAAAAATATTTAATATTATTTGGGGTATTTAGAAGTAGTTTCAGGTCAAATATTGGCTTTCCTAAAAATGTAGAATTTTCAGTAAATTTTATTTTCTCACATATGACATATTAAGAGGCAAAAAGAAGGGGACAACCTCAAACTCCCTCCAAACACAACTAATCTTTAGTACCCTGACTTTCTGTCAAATAAAATGGCATCTGATTTATCTATCTGTGAGTCTTCAGAATTCATCACTATATTTCCTTTGGGAGACCACTTCTGAGGACAGTAGGTGAAATATTTAACTGTAAGATTTGAGGAACACAGCAAGTAGGTCTTCTCACAAACTGCTGATACTTCATTGTCACCTTGTATATTTCTGTACTTTATTTAAGGTGAAGCTGAGAACATACTGGAAATAGAAAAGAGTAAGTTACAGCTGCCAAAAGGAATGATTACTTTTGAAAGCCTTGAAAAAGCCAGAAGGGAACAAAGTAAATTCTTCATAGACAAATGATATCATGTTTACCCACTGAAACTCAAAACACAAAATTGTTTACTTAAATAATGATTTTTACAATTGTTTAAGTGTTCAAGATTTTGATATAATGGATTTTATTTTAAAATATTAAAATATAAGATCAGGTTTGTTAAGCTATTTTGAAATAAAATTTATAGCATTAAACAAAAAAGGAGGTATTCTAAGTAACTTTTAAATTTCACATATATGTATATTACAAATATGTAAATATAAAATTAATAAACTACATTGTTTTGAATTACTGAAAGCAAATGTCCTACAGCTCTCATTTTTCTGTCTTATACACCTTCCCCATCACATTCATCTTTAATTTGGATTTGTCAGTTGTGTTCTGTCTCCACCTGACAGAAACAACTCATATAATGACTAGTATGTATATTGTGCTTCCTATGGCCAGTCACTCTTCTGAATGGTTTGCATAGATCTAGTACAGGAAGGACTACTTCTCTGCAGAGATTACATATGAGCTGAGAACTGAATAATGAATGAGCCAATTATGTAAAAAGCAAGTATGGGGGCAGGGGAGGGATTTCTAGGCAAAGGGAAGAGCCAGAAGAAAGACTCTGAGACTTGTCAAAGAATGGAAAGAAGCCCAGGGAGAATCATAGGAGATGAAATCTGAAGGAGAGAAATAAGCACAACTACATGGCTTATGAAGCTGATGATACATTAATATATGTCTTTGATACAATTATAGTTGAAGGGAACCCTGGGGCCAGGTCTTGAAGTATGCATTGAGTTCTCCATGAAGACAAGAGTGTGAAAATGAAGTGCATCCTTGGCAGAAAAAGAAGAATGACTAAAGAGAGGGCCATGCATGTCAAGTCCAGGGATTTGCTGCTGGTTATTGAGTTTGCCTGGGGCAAGAGGTTCCTTACTTGGGAGACTTGTTAAGAAATAAGCTTGAAGGCACAGCTCAACTCCTTTGGTGTAACACCAAGGAGGTTGTGCTCTATCCTATGGGGACTAAAATTACAACTCCATCAAGTTTATATGGTATTCCACCTAATTCAGTTTGTGTTTGGGGATAATTCTGAAGGGTCCTTATGGTACAGTACTTAACTGCACTTTGTAAAAGATTATAGCAGTGCCCAGATCCACTCAAAACAGTTTTAGTAACAAATATTGAAACTATATTAAAGAAGGAAGGAAGACCCTTAAAATGATCTAATCTAAATCCCATTTTACAACTGAGAAAATGGAGGTTCATAGTGATTTACCTAAAGTTCCATATCTGGTAAGGATAGCAGGTACTAAAACCCTGATGTCTGATATCCCTAGAAGGATTCTTTCCAATGCAACATGATGCTTGACTTCAAAAGAAAGTGACAAAGTAAATATCAAAAATAACTTTTAAAAATTATGACCTATGTTCAATTTCAGAGCCTTAGAAAATGTCCCAGAGATGCGGTTAGAATAGAATAGGGAAGTAGCAGAGTCAGACTGAAAATATAATCTACAACCAATGTAATTGGAATATGAATAATCTGAACTTGATACTATATTTTATAGGCTTCAACAATTTTAATATATGCATATTCAAATGTGATATTTTAGAGACACTAGCCAGAACCTAGAAAGCTTTTCTGCTCCACTCTTATGAGAAAAGAACAAACCCTTGCTGGGAAAATATTATTAATTAAGCCTTATTACTCATTCATTGTGGTGTCTCTTAGCCTTGGAATATGTCTGTTCTGTGAGAGGGTTGGAAAATGCTTTCCTAGGTTTGGCCTTGTGGGTGCCTACAGGAGATTTCAGAAATACCTTGCAAACTACAAACTGTCCAATTTGAAGAAAGTAGTTTCTAATATTCAGGGCTGACTATTTAACATCTCTACTGATTTTTTTTACTGGTAACTTTGGGACTTGGAGTTTATGAAAAGTGAAGCAGTACTTGGGCTGCAGATGTACCAGGAAGGCCAGGCTGGCTGGAAGCAGAAGAGCGTTGGGGGCGACAGGTGAGAAAAGCCTAGAAAATAAGAGAGCCAAGGAAGAGAGTCTTCATAAAGGGATGGAGCTGACTCAAATGCCTCTCACAGTAAATGGCTGCCAGGGTTCCATTACTGGCTTGGGGGAGCTGAGCTCTCTAGGGACCAAAGTCACCCATGGGATCCCCTTAGAGGCCTGTTTATTTTGCTGTGATAACTTCTTCCTCTGGCTACTTGGATGGTAGTAGGAGTGTGTCTGGAACAACACAAATTTATCATGACTGCTGATAAAAGTAACTGGAACCCTACATTCCACTGATACTCAGTGGTCACTGAGTCTGAGATTTACCCTGTTTCCCCGAAAATAAGACAGTGTCTTATATTAATTTTTGCTCCCAAAGATGCGCTAGGTCTTATTTTCAGGGGATGTCTTATTTTTCCATGCGCTAGGTCTTATTTTCGGAGGACGTCTTATTTTCAGTTCACTATTTCTCAGTTCACAAGTGTCACGGGGTTAAAAGATAGATTGCTAACCTCAGTTTATTTATTCTTTTTCTTGGAGGACTTCATCTGTGGTCAGAAGCACTGTGTAGATGTTTTCTGCTCTGCCAGGACATGAAGGACAGGCAACCCCTGAGCCTCAGTTGATTTGGGCATTTCATTTGGTGTTAAAGAACAGAGTTCAGAATATGTCTCATGAAGTCACATCCTAGAGAGGACTGGAAATCTGGGATTCTAGCTTGGTGGGGATTTCAAAAAACTATAAGGAAACAGCTGTTGAAGGTTTGTAAAAGTCAATTGAAATTAAATAAGGAAGGTCTGTGAAAAGTTATCAGGGTGTCAGGATTGGGCTTTGAGGAACATCTATAACTATTTTTCCTAACACTCCCACACCATTAATTTCTGCTGATGAAGATCTGACAAAAGTAGAAGGTAGTATCAACTATATCTACCAAGAGAGAGAGAGAGAGAGGGAGAGAGGGAGAGAAGGAGAGGGGGAGAGGGGGAGAGAGGGAGGGAGGGAGGGAGGGAGGGAGGGAGGGAGGGGAGAGGGAGAGAGGGGAGGGGAGAGAGAGAGAGAGAGAGAGAGAGAGAGAGAGAGAGAGAGAGAGAGAGAGAGAATTACATCCCATAGAAATTCAATATGGATTTTGGATACTCAACTATTTCATTTCTTGAAATGCTCAAGAGAAGACTTGGCATCCAGAATGCTTTTCATCTTCAAGGAACTAAGATATTTGAAAGGAGTCCAACTAATGCTATATATTTCAAACTAGCAATAACAAAAAGACAACTATGGTTTGAATAGTTTGTGCCTCTAGGTCAGGGGTGGGGAAAATCCAGTCTGCAGGCTGTATAAGGTTCCTGAAATCATTTGGCCTGGTCCTACCAAGGCATTAGGGATGAGTTAATTAAATGTTTGACCAAATATAACAGCCTAATTTTTAAACTGATAGTTTTGTATAGCCTGATAATGATGTTATAAATATCCAAATGGCCCTTGGCAGAAAAAAGGTTCCCCAAACCTGCTCTAGATCATTACTTCTTTGAATTCAATAGCCATGAGAAACATAGGATGCTAGACTGACCTTCCATCCAGTTTTCTTGTATGGACTGAAAACAAAGGACAAGCCTACCACTTCTGAAATAGCCTGAAAGTCTTACTAGGCAGGTGAAGGGGATTTTGTTCATCTGACTTTCAAACTTGCTTTTCAGCAATTCAAGCAGACATCAATTTCCTACTAGAAAAGATGTGTTATAGGAAAAGTTCAAATGGGCTCATAGTTAAGATATTCTGTTCTTCCTCCCATTTCTTTATCTCTTTTAGGTAATTCTATCTCAATATAGGATTTCCCAAAAGCAGATTTGGCACCCATCACTTGAGTAAATCATTGATTTTGGAGATGATCCCAAAAACATTGATGGGGAATTGAGGAAATTGAGAGGACAGAGAAGGAAACTAGTAAACGAAGTCTATCCCAGAAAGTGACCCTTCCAGACCACTGTAGCTTAATCCTGATGAAGAACTCTAGGAAATTGTTTAAAACATCCCCTACCCCTACCTGAGTTATCTAATCCAAGGAGTGAAATTTTCCCAGCTTAGAATGTACAGACAAAGCGTCTCTGGAAACCAGAAGCAAGAAATGCAGATGTTAGACACTGGAAGTCAGATCAACTCAAACTGAAATGATAAGGGCTAATAAGTAGGTGAAAGCAACTCATAATTTAGTTACTGATAGGGCTACTTTAACTTTACATCTCTAAGTAACATTCCAGTGTAGCTATTTCTTAATGTTTCAAAAATATTTTATTTCTTGACATTTCATAAAAATAAAGAATTAGCTCTATTAACTCCCCCAACCCCAACAGCCACACTACATGCATCTATTTCCCCATCCTTTCAATAATGTTATGCAATCATTTTGGTTGGATCAATATTCATTGTTTACATTATAATAATGATGCCAACACTGTTTACAACTGTGTCATATAGTAAAGTATAATTATGTCCCTTTTTTGCTCAGCTTCCCGATTTCTCTAGAATTAGTCTTTCATTGTTTTATGCGCTTAATGTTCTTTATAACTTCATTAACCTCAAATTCTTTGTTGCTTTTTAAATCTTCTCCAAAGACATCCATTCACATCAGATATTTTATTAATACCTTCTTGTAAAAAAAAAAAAAAATTGGAGCCTTCTGACCTGTTCTCACTGTACTGTTTTTTGTAGGGGGTTTTTCGTACATCTAAAAGGCAGCTCTCTCCCCCTGAGTTTTCCCTTTACCACCCTGGTGGAGGGGGAGAGTCCTTTCTTCCTATACTGGAGTTGGATCTTTTGCTTCCTATATTCTGTTGTGCTCTCTCATTTGCTGGAACTTATCCCTCCTTAGCTTTGTGACAAAGAGTGAATGAAAAATAAAAATGTTGAGGCCTTATATATCTAAAAATAACTTTTTCTTACATTGATTGATAAATTGGCCGGGTACAGAATTCCTGGTTGTTAATGACTTTCCATTAGGATTTCTAAGGCATTTCTCAGCCTTCTTGGGTGTCAACACTCTGTGCTGGAAAGCCCTCCTACACCGATCCTCCTCCTCACCTTGCTTGAGCTCCAACCACTTATGCTGGCCACCCTTCACATAGTTAGATATATTCCTCATCCCATTCAAATGCTAGCACCACTAGTCTGCACCACCCTGCAAAAGCCTTTCTTAACCAGTTCAGGCTCAAACATCTCTCACTGGGTCACCTTCCTTTCCTCCCTGCTCCCAGTATGGATACCTTCCTCACTGTTCTCAGATTACAACACCCCATTGGGAACCACCAGAGCCTTCCCCTACACCTTCCAGCCTGGATATGTCCTTTGTCCTGCCCAAATGAATGGGTTTAGAAAGAAAAAAAAAATTCAGAATAGAAGGGAAAAGAAAAAGCAAAATAACTGAATTTTAATATTTGTCATCTAATACATATATTTAGAATTTTTAAACAAAATTGTTTTTGTTTATTTTTGTGTGTTCAAGTAACCCTTATTTTATTTTTTTATTTTTTTAAAATAAATTTATTGGGGTGACATCCTATCTAATAAAAGAAAAATATGAAAATTGACTGTCACTCTAAGACACAAGATGGCCTCCCCCATGTGGTCAAAGATGATGTGCAGGAAGGGGGGGGGGGGGCAGTTGTGGGCAATTAGGGTTGACCAGACCAGCAGGGGATGGCAGTTGGGTGTGACCAGATCGGCAGAGGAGGGCAGTTGGGGGGGACCAGGACTGCAAGGGAGGGCATATGGGGTGGGGCAGAACTGCAGGGGAGAGCAGTTGGGGGGACTAGGCCTGCAGGGGAGGGCAGTTGTGGGGGACCAGGCCTGCATGAAAGGTATTTGGGGGGGACCAGGCCTGCAGTGGGGGGCAGTTGGGGGAGGCAAGACCAGACCTGAAGGAGAGGACAGTTACGGGGGATCGGGCCAGCAAGGGTGGGCAGTTAGAGGTGACCAGGCCTGCACAGGAGGTCAGTTAGGGGTGACCAGACTGCCAGGGGAAGGCAATTATGGGTGACCAGGACGGCAAGGGAGGACAATTAGGGGCAATCAGGCCGGCTGGGGAGCAGTTAGGTATCGATCAGGCTGGCAGGGGAGTGGTTAGGGGGTGATCAGGCTGGTAGGCAGAAGCGGTTAGGAGCAATCAGGCAGGCAGGCAGGTGAGGGTTGGGAGCCAGCAGTTCTGGATTGTGAGGGGTCCCAGATTGGAGAGGGTGCAGACTGGACTGAGGGAACCCCCCTCCAGTACATGAATTTTGTGTACTGGGCCTCTAGTTAATTAATAAAATTATATAGGTTTCAAGTGTGCAATTCTATAATACATCATCTGTACATTGTATAGTGTGTTCACCATTCCAGTGAAGTCTTTTTCCATCTCAATTTATCCCCTCTTTACCCTTTTCTATTTCTCCCCACCACTCTTTTCCTTCTTGTAATCTCCATAATGTTGTCTGTGTCTATGAGGGTTTTTTTTTTTTGTAACCCCTTTACCTTTTTTAACATGCCCACTCCAAACCTGTGCCTTCTGACATCTGTCAGTCTGTTTTCTGTATCTATAAGTCTGCCTTATTTCGTTTATTTTGTTCATTAGATTCTATATATAAGTGAAATCATATGGCAACTATCTTTCTCTGATTGGCTTATTTCACTTAGCATAATATTCTCTAGGTCCATCCATACTGTCACAAAAAGGTAAAAGTTCCTTATTTTTTTAATGGTTAAGTAGTACTCCATTGTGTAAATGTACCACAGCATTTTTATTCACTCATCTGATGAACATTTGGGCTGCTTCCAAATTTTGGCTATTGTAAACAATGCTGCAATGAACATAGGGATGCATGTGTTCTTTTGAATTAGTGTTTCAGGTTTCTTCAGCTATAGTCCCAGAATAGAATTGCTGGGTCATAAAGCAGTCCTATTTTAAATTTTTTTGAGGTTACTCCATATTGTTTTCCATAGTGGATACTTATTTAGTAAGTAGATACTTTTCTTTATG